ACGCACACACACACACACGCACACACGCACACACACACACACACACACACACACACACACACACACACACACACACACACACACGCGCGCGTGTTGTGGCAGTGATAATGTAACCATGACATTCTCACGAAGTTGAGGGTCAGGGGAAAGGAGGGAGAGGGAGTGCGACGGGTGGGGGAGAAGTGTTCATGGGTGGGGGTAGAGGAGGGGGGTGTTTTTGGGAAGGAATTGGGGAGAAAAGAGGGAGGGGAAGTGGTATTCAGTTGCTGCAAAAGTTTGGCCGTGAGGATGAAGTTGGATATTCCAGTGTTTTCAACAAGTAAAGAACCCTTACAGGTTTAGTGCTCCTCACGCACACAATAACCTTTGCGGGTTCATCAGTCAAGGCAGCGTCAAAGGTTTCAGAACTGGAGTCACTATAATGTGGGAATTTCCCATGTCTCCCATAATTATGGGGAAATGCAGTTTTTAATGGGGGGAAGGAAGGAAGGATGGAATTGCCTTCTCTTTTACCATATCTCCCCATTCCTGCCTCACTCACCCATCACCCACACCCATCACCCATCACCCATCACCCATCACCCATCACCCACACCCATGGTTACTTCTCTTCTACTTAACCGAACCAGATTCAACTGACATACGGATTCATACATAAATAAATATTCATACATACATACATACATACATACGTACAAATAAACAATAACAACCGTGTATTCAGTATATAAACCAGAAATAACTACAACTAGTAAGTATGCACGGTGAGAATGTAAAGGTAAGATGAATAAAGTATGACAGTAAGATAAACAGAGAGGAAGATAGCTGTACAGGTAGAATAACCTAGCACAGGAGATGAGAAGTGATACACCAGGTAATACATACAAGTAAGATACACCAGTAGAGGCTAAGATAGTCTGTACAGGTCAAGATAACCATGCATAGGCAAGATAACAACAGTCAGAAGATAACAACATAATGGGAAGATAACAAGCATCACAGTAAGATAACAAGCAGTACAGGTAAGATAGTCTGTCCCGGTCAGATAACATGCATCAGGCAAGATAACAACACAGATAGCAAGCACAGATAAAAACAGCAGTACAGTAAACACTACAGGTATTACTAACGCAGATACATGCAAGATAACAAAAGTAATCTAAGCATACAATATACAAGCAAGATACAGTAAAGTAATAATAACAAGCAGTACAGGTAAGATAACAAGACAGTACAAGGAAGATAAGTACAGTACAGGTAAGATAACAAGCAGTACAGTCAAGATAACAACAGTACAGGCAAGATAAACAAGCAGTACAGGCAAGAAAACAAGCATACAGAAGATAACAAGCAGTACAGGCAAGATAACAAGTAGTACAGGTCAAGATAACATACAGTACAGGCAAGATAAACAAGTAGTACAAGAAGAAAACAAGACAATACAGGTCAAGATAACAAGCAGCACAGGTAAGATAACAAGCAGTACAGGTAAGATAGTCTGTACCGGTCAGATAACAGCAGATACAGGCAGAATAACAACATACAGCAAGATAACAAGCAGTACAGGCAGTAAATAGACAGACAGAACAAAGTACATTAGATAACAAGTAGTCACAAGATAACAAGCATAGCAGGCAAGATAACACATACAGAAGATAACAACAACAGTACAGGCAAGATAACAAGTAGTACATTCAAGATAACAAGCAGTACAGCAAGATAACAAGTATGCATCAAGAAACACAGTACAGGCAAGATAACAAGAGTACAGGTAACAGAGTACAGGCAAGATAACAACAGTACATGGCAAGATAACAGCAGTACAGCAAGATAACAAGCAGTACATCAAGAATAACAAGCAGTACAGGTCAAGATAACAAGCAGTACAGAAGATAACGAACGCAGTACAAGTCGCAAGATAACAAGCAGTACAAGCAAGATAACAAGCAGTAATTCAAGATAACAGGCATAAGATAACAGGCAGTACAGCAAGATAACAGAGTACATTCAAGATAACAGGCAGTACAGCAAGATAACAAGTAGTACAGAAGCAAGATTAACAAGCAGTACAGGCAAGATAACAAGAGTACATTCAAGATAAAAGCAGTACAGGCAAGATAACAAGCAGTACAGGCAAGATAACAAGCAGTACAGCAAGATAACAAGCAGTACAGCAAGATAACAAGCAAGTACAGGCAAGATAACACAGTACAGGCAAGATAACAAGCAGTACACAAGATAACAGCAGTAACAGAAGATAACAAGATACAGGCAGTAACAGTAACAGCAAGATAACAAGTAGTACAAGCAAGATAACAAGCAGTACAGGCAAGATAACAAGCAGTATATTCAAGATAACAAGCAGTACAGGCAAGATAACAAGCAGTACAGCAAGATAACAAGTCAGTAACAACGAAGCAAGATAACAAGCAGTACAGGCAAGATAACAGCAGTACAGGCAAGATAACAAGCAGTACAAGCAAGATAACAAGCAGTACAGGCAAGATAACAAGCAGTACGCAAGCAAGATAAAAGACAAGGTACAGGCAAGATAACAAGCAGTACAGGCAAGATAACAAGCAGTACAAGCAAGATAACAAGCAGTACAGGCAAGATAACAAGCAGTACAAGCAAGATAACAAGCAGTACAAGCAAGATAACAAGCAGTACAGGCAAGATAACAAGCAGTACAAGCAAGATAACAAGCACAGTAACAGGCAAAGATAACAACAGCAGTACAAGAAAGATAACAAGCAGTACAAGCAAGATAACAAGCAGTCAAGCAAGATAACAAGCAGTACAGCAAGATAACAAGCAGTACAAGCAAGATAACAAGCAGTACAAGCAAGATAACAAGCAGTACAAGCAAGATAACAAGCAGATACAAGTGCAAGATAACAAGCAGTACAAGCAAGATAACAAGCAGTACAGGCAAGATAACAAGCAGTACAAGCAAGATAACAAGCAGTACAGGCAAGATAACAAGCAGTAACAGAAAGCAAGAAGAACAAGCAGTACAGGCAAGATAACAAGCAGTACAAGCAAGATAACAAGCAGTACAGGCAAGATAACAAGCAGTACACAAGCAAGAGAACAAGCAGTACAGGCAAGATAACAAGCAGTACAAGCAAGATAACAAGCAGTACAGGCAAGATAACAAGCAGAAAAACAAGCAAGATAACAAGCAGTACAAGCAAGATAACAAGCAGTACAGGCAAGATAACAAGTAGTACAAGCAAGATAACAAGCAGTACAAACAAGATAACAAGCAGTACAAGCAAGATAACAAGCAGTATAGGCAAGATAACAAGCAGTACAGGCAAGATAACAAGCAGTACAAGCAAGATAACAAGCAGTACAGGCAAGATAACAAGCAGTACAAGCAAGATAACAAGCAGTACAGGCAAGATAACAAGCAGTACAAGCAAGATAATAAGCAGTACAGGCAAGATAACAAGCAGTACAAGCAAGATAACAAGCAGTACAAGCAAGATAACAAGCAGTACAGGCAAGATAACAAGTAGTACAAGCAAGATAACAAGCAGTACAAGCAAGATAACAAGCAGTACAAGCAAGATAACAAGCAGTACAGGCAAGATAACAAGCAGTACAGGCAAGATAACAAGCAGTACAAGCAAGATAACAAGCAGTACAGGCAAGATAAGGGAGGTTCGGCCTCACCAGTAACAGTATAACCGGTGCATTAAACGAGGACTTGAGAGTTGACCTCAAACTCGAGAATTCCGCTACTTTCGTCTCGGTGCGGTGGTGATGGGTCGTTAATTGAGACAATGGTCGTTAAAACTGAGGGAGGGGTCGTTAATTGAGACAGTGGTCGTTAAGACTGATTGAGGGGGTCGTTAATTGAGAAGCTTTCGTTAAAACAGAGGGAGGGGTCGTTGAGACAGTGGTCGTTAAAACTGAGGGAGGGGTCGTTAACTAAGACAGGTGGTCTCTAAAACAGGGACGGGTCGTTAATTGAGACAGTGGTCGTTAAATCTGAGGGAGGAGTCGTTGAGACAGCTGTCGTCAAAACTGAGAGAGGGGTCGTTGAGACAGTGGTCGTTAAAACTGAGAGAGGGGTCGTTAATTGAGACAGCTATCGTTAAAACTGAGGGAGGGGTCGTTGAGACAGGTGCTCGTTAAAACTGAGGGAGGGGTCATTGAGACAGGTGGTCGTTAAAACTGAGGGAGGGGGTGTTAGTTGAGACGGGGGGTCGTCAAAACTGAGGGGAGTCATTAATTGAGACAGGGGTAGTTAAAACTGAGGAGGGGTCGCTAATTGAGACATCGGTCGTTAAAACTGACGGAGGGGTCGTTAATTGCTGCAGGGGTCGTCAAAATTGAGGCAGTGGTAGTTAAAATTGAGGCTTTGTCATTGAGTTAGGTATGGTCGTTAACTGAGGCATCGTTAAAATCAAGGCTTGGTCACTGATGTGGGGGTCGTTAAAAGTAGGAGAGTAGAAGGAAAAGCAGGTTGGAACGGCAGCAACATGATGAATCAACAAGGAAGATGATCCTTGTTGGCCCGTTGATGAGCCAGCCAGCTAGCTCGACAACCTGCCTGGCAGTCAGCCAACCAATGTGGCTGGCAACCAACCTGGTAAGTTAATCGGCGGTTGGTTGATAAATGTGGGTTTAAATCCTACCTACTACACTGGAAGTCACTGAAGCTGCACGGAATCTCTTCACCACAAGAAGGGAATATTTTAAATCCCTTAGATAGGGATTAAAGTAAACTCTGAGTATATATATACACAGTGATAGAAATCCACCGCTCGGTATATATATCCTACCAGCTGGTCATTCACTCAACACAAGAGGCACACATCAGCCAATGCAAACATTAATATTTCACTTCCGGATCGAAATCACACTCCAACACGGACGCACACGAACACATTCCTGGAACAACGTTCGCTATATATGCATGTATCATGGTACAATGGTTGTTACGTATCGTGGAACAATGGTAGGACTGGAAAGCGGAGGTCACTTACCGCCCTCCTCATCGTCCTTGTCTCGTCTGGTACCTCCCGACACCGGCGCTGCCGTATATATATACTTCCGGGAGTTGCCGGTTCTCTCCCTGCAGGAAAGGTGGGTGAAGATGGGCGCCTTAGATACCGGTGAAGAGCTCGCTATCCCAGGAACTGGAGCTGCTCTCTCCCCCTTCCTAAGACCATAGATGATGGTTTGCCCCCATGTAACCCCAGACGCCGTATGACCTCTGAGGGTGCGCAGCTTCCCACATGTGTACGACTATAGCAAGACGTTGTTATCAATTTCAGACTTCATAGGTCAAATCCGAAGGTGGAATGTACAAAACCGGATGAATATAATTGACAGAGAGAGAGAGAGGAGAGAGAGAGAGAGAGAGAGAGAGAGAGAGAGAGAGAGAGAGAGAGAGAGAGAGAGAGAGGAGAGAGAGAGAGAGAGAGAGAGAGAGAAATAAGGAAAGAAAAAGAAATAGTAATGAAAACGTGTAAGCTTGAAGAATAGGGCTTCCCCAGCGCTCTTGCCTGGCGACACCAGCAGCAGCAGCAGCAGCAGCAGCAGCAGCAGCAGCAACACCACCACACCACCACCACCGCCGCCGCCGCCGCACCACCACCACCACCACCACACCACCACCACCACCACCAGTAGCAGCAGCAGCAGCAGCAGCAGCAGCAGCAGCAGCAGCAGCAGCAGCAGCAGCGCAGCAACAGCAACACCACCACCACCACCACCACCGCCGCCGCCGCCGCCACCACCACCACCACCACCACCACCACCACCACCAGTAGCGCAGCAGCAGCAGCAGCAGCAGCAGCAGCAGCAGCAGCAGCAGCAGCAGCAGCAGCAGCACCACCACCACCACCACCATCACCGCCGCCGCCACCACCACCACCACCACCACCACCACCACCAGTAGCAGCAGCAGCAGCAGCAGCAGCAGCAACAACACAACAACAACAACAACAACAACAACAACAACAACAACAAACAACACTACCACTAGCTTATGTCTCATCATGTTAATTCCTACATCTATACTTCCTTCTTCCTCAACATCCACAACACCATAAACAACACTATCTCCATCTTCAAAATGCTCACCATACAAGCAACATCTTAAACTTACACAAATACTAATAATACTAATAATAAGAATAATAGTAATAATAATAATAATAATTATAAAATAATAATAATAATAATAATAATAATAATAATAATAATAATAATAATAATTATAATAATAATAATAATAATAATAATAATAATAATAATAATAATAATATATAATAATAATAATAATAATAATAATAATAATAATAATAATAATATATAATAATAATAATAATAATAATAATAATAATAATAATAATAATAATAATATAATATATTATTATTATTATTATTATATTATTATTATTGTTATTATTATTGTTGTTATTAGGAAGCGGTAGGTCCGTACGAGGCCATAGAGTACCCAGGGTACAGTCCAGGGAAGTGAGGGTAATAGCAGTGGATTGGTATCTGCCCACGTTGAAGTTTCCTATTCCTAAGCGCGTGTAAGTACCTATTCGTAAATGCCTATTGTTTTAAGTACCTCTTTGTAAATCCCTACTTATATACTCTTGATTTTAAGTGCCTATTTATAATTATCAATTTGTGATCAGTCTTCTAACAATTAACTATAGCGAAGTTATAGGAAGACTGAGTGTAGTGTATCTGTAGTGATATGTTAATAAATATAGCATTTGCTGGATCAGTACATCATCACATGATGTGCCTTACACCATATGATGTGCCTTACATCATCACATGATGTGCCTTAACCATATAATGTGCCTTACACCATATGATGTACCTTACATCATCACATGATGTGCCTTACACCATATGATGTGTCTTACATCATCACATGATGTATCTTACATTTTCACATGATGTGCCTTACATCATCACATGACGTGCCTTACATCATCACATGATGTGCCTTACATCATCACATGATGTGCCTTACATCATCACATGACGTGCCTTACATCATCACATGATGTGCCTTACATCATCACATGATGTGCCTTACATCATCACATGATGTGCCTTACATCATCACATGATGTGCCTTACATCATCACATGATGTGCCTTACATCATCACATGATGTGCCTTACATCATCACATGATGTGCCTTACATCATCACATGATGTGCTCTATATCATCACATGATGCTATCTGGAATTTCTAAACTATATATACCGGTCTACCAGAAGAAAGCCCTCGCTCACACGACAAAAAAGCTCCAGCTCTCGGGCCCTCAGGAGACAACATTTTTTTTCCAGACAACACACCGTCACCCACATCCTCCTGGGCTCCCATTCATCTACCACGTTGAAAAAAATATATTTATCTGTTGGGCACTGTCTTTTCTGCAGTTGAAAACTGTGGCTTGTCTGCCTAGTGTTAGTTTAAAAGTGAGTGAATGGATGAGTTAGTGGATGAGTTCGTGGATGAGTGGGTAGGGGAAACAATAAATGGGTAGGTGAGTGGGTGGATGGGCGAAGGGGTGGTGGAATGGATGGGTGGGAAATTAGAGAGGTTGAAGGAAGCAAAGCTGACAATCTTAACGCAGAGAAGAGCAAAAGGGGACATGATCACGACATACAAAATACCAATAGGAATTAACAGGGCCTATATAAATAGAGAAAAAAAAAAACACAAGAACCAGGGACAGGCGAATATGAAGACACAGCGGAACTATAGATGTGCTAAGGAAAAGAAAAGGAAGCGTGGTAGAAGGAGTTGCAACACACAGCTTCAGGTAAGAGTATGACATCGCCTGATAGGTCAATAAACTCTGTGTTGTGGGTAATTTGAGCTTGCAGAGTGTATAATAATAATTTTGGGTTGCAGGGTGCAGTGTTGCAGAAGTCAGAGGTCAAAACAATGCGTGACATTGTTGTTGTTGTCGTTCGTCATACGCCCGCCAGTGTGGTTGCCGGGAGATCCGGCTGCCACTCAAAAAAGTGGAAAGTCTTGTACTGCTAATGATTAAACATTTAGTTATACTAGTTTAACTGTTGTCCTGCCTGCCAGTTGCTTTATTCTGTCTATCACTGTCTACCGCTCTATCCTGTCTGTACTCGTATCGCTCTATTTATCTCACAGATAACTCAAATATCTCGTTTTCATTCATAAGTCATAACGTACACTATGACCATATTGTAAAGAGAGAGAGAGAGAGAGAGAGAGAGAGAGGAAGAAGGAGAGAGGGAGAGGGAGAGAGAGAGAGAGAGAGAGAGAGAGAGAGAGAGAGAGAGAGAGAGAAGAGAGAGAGAAGAGAGAGAGTGAGAGAGAGAGAGAGTGAGAGAGAGAGAGAGAGAGAGAGAGAAGAGAGAGAGAGAGAGAGAGTGAGTAGTGAGAGAGAGAGAGAGAGAGAAGAGAGAGAGAGATGAGGAGAGAGAGAGAGAGAAGAGAGAGTGAGTGAGTGAGATGAGAGAGAGAGAGGAGAGAGAGAGAGGAGGAGAGAGAGAGAGAGAGAGAGAGAGGAGAGAGAGAGAGAGAGAGAGAGAGAGAGAGAGAGAGAGAGAGAGAGTAGAGAGAGTGAGTGAGGAGTGAGAGAGGAGAGAGAGAGAGAGAGAGAGAGAGAGAGAGAGAGAGAGAGAGAGAGAGAGAGAGAGAGAGAGAGAGAGAGCATAACGGAGGTAATGACGCAGTTGGCAGTGGCCGTGTGAACCTGAGTGAATATCAAGTTATTTGTGCCCTAGCTTGTGTTGTGTGTGTGTGTGTGTTGTGTGTGTGTGTGTGTGTGTGTGTGTGTGTGTGTGTGTGTGTGTGTGTGTACTCACCTATTTGTACTCACCTATTTGTGGTTGCAGGGGTCGATTCATAGCTCCTGGCCCCGCCTCTTCACTGGTTGCTACTAGGTCCTCTCTATCCCTGCCCCATGAGCTTTATCATACCTCGCCTTAAAACTATGTATGGTTCCCACCTCCACTACGTCACTTTCTAGGCTATTCCACGGCCTGACTACTCTATGACTGAAGAAATACTTCCTAACATCCAATTGTGACCTCTTGTGTCTGTGTCCCTTCTCTGGAACATCCCGTCTTTGTCCACCTTGTCTACTCCGCGCAGTATTTTATATGTCGTTATCATGTCTCCCCTGACCCTCCTGTCCTCCATTGTCGTCAGGCCGATTTCCCTCAACCTTTCTTCGTAGGACAATCCCCGTAGCTCTGGGACTACTCTTGTTGCAAACCTTTGCACTTTCTCTAGTTTCTTGACGTGCTTGACTAGGTGTGGATTCCAAACTGGTGCTGCATACTCCAGTATGGGCCTGACGTAAATGGTATACAGAGTCTTGAACGAGACCTTACTGAGGTATCGGAACGCTATCCGTAGGTTTGCCAGGCGCCCGTATGCTGCAGCAAGTTACTGATTGATGTGCGCCTCATGGAGATATGCTTGGTGTTATAACTCACCCCCAGATCTTTTTCCTTGAGTGTAGGTTTGCATGTCTTTGGGCCATCTAAACTATATTGTGTCTGCGGTCTTCTTTGCCATTCCCCAATCTTCATGACTTTACATTTGGCAGGTTACAACTCAAGGAGCCAGTTGCTGGACCAGGCTGTAGGCCTGTCCAGGTCTCTTTGTACTCCTGCCTGATCCTCAACCGATTTGATTCTTCTCATTAACTTCACATCATCGCAAACAATGACACTCTGAGGTCAACACTTCCGTTATGTCGTTCACATTACCAAGAACAGCACAGGTCCTAGGACTGACCCCTTGTAACCCCGCTTATCACAGGCGGCCCACTACTGACACCTCGTCGCGTACAATGACTCTTGTGCCACCCTGTCTGGTATTCCCTGATCCATTGCAGTGCCTTTCCTGTATGTGTGCCTGGTCCTCTGAGCTTTTGCATAACCTCTTGTGAGGAACTGTGTCGAAGGCCTTCTGCGTCCAAAAAAATGCAGTTGATCCACCCCTCTCTCTCTTGTCTTACTTCTGCCACCTTGTCATAAAACTCTAGTAGGTTGTGACACAGATTTTCCCTCCCTTGAAAACCAGGCTGGTTGTCAATTACAAACACTTGTTTTCTTTCAGTGCTCCACCACTCTCCTCCTGATGATCTCCATGACCTTGCATACTA